TCGTACATAATCTATTGACATACATTCCCACATTTTTATGCACAAAAATGCATGTGTCGTATCAAGGCGTATTTAACAAGGTGGTGTGGGCCGTATATAAGTAAAAAATTACACTAACAAATTATACGCTGATGTCCATACTGTCATTGGTATGAGTTACAACAAACACATCAGTTTGACGTAATGGCCTCCACGGCGAAAAACTCAGCTGTCCCCCCAACACCACCTTGTTTAATACACCTTGTGTTGTATAGTACACTCGGAGCGCTCGCTCGTCGCTCACTCGTCTTTCCTAGCAGAGTGAGTATGCAGACAGCTACTCGCCTCGCACTGCGAGCGAGGCAACACCCAACAGCCTCGCTCATTTAATAAGAGCGCGAGCAAACAAGCAGCGCTCGCTCGTTTGGCGAGCGAGCCAAACTTCACGTGCCTCGCCTCATTGCTGCTACGAGTACGAGCTGCGAGCGCCTCATTGTCTGCGAGGCATTGAGTAGGAGTTTGCTCACTCGCTCGCTCGAACTCCGAGTTTTTGCCCACCCTGATCTCTACAGGCAAAAAATATTGGCTAAAATTTTTGTTTGCCAGATATACGTTTTAACAGTGCACTTGTACAATATTCGCATTCGCAAAAGCTCCGCATTGATTATTGGGAATGCGAAAGCGCATGCGAATGCGAATGCGAATATTCGCAACAACCCTGATTCATATGTATACCCACATATGTAAATTAGAATGCTTTTTTCTTTCGGTCCCATATCAAAATTTCGTTGTCGGTTACAAAAAAATAATGTCGGCAAAATTTCAGCCCTCTCTCTATCTTCATTTTTCAGTTAGCGCTCGCAAAAATAAGAATTTTCAACGAAGAAAATGTTGTTCCGCAACTTTATTTATAAACAGTTAAGTGTAACAAATAAAAGAAAAGCCTTATTGCAGTTTTGTAGAGAATTAAATTCACACACACAAATATATTCATAAAGTTAGTTAATAAATAAAGAATAAAAAATGTACATATAATATTAACATACATACATAGTGGTCGAAAAAATTTAGTAGGACCAAATTTTTACAAGTTTTCACAAATATTTTTTTTTTTGTTAATTAGTTTAGGTTTTGTAGCCTACTAAATTCTAGCAAAATAAGGTGCAACTTTCAAGTGGCTAAAAATTTTGGTTTTAGATTTTTTTTTCTAAAGGTGCTGTGTTTCCTTACATGTAAACATAAATTGTATTTGTTCGTTATTGAAACCAAATGCGACAAACAAAATTCTAAAAAATCAATCGTAATTTTTAGGTATTTGAAGCTTTACTATACTAGAATTGAACGAGCTGCAAAACTGCATACTTACACAAAATCTTTAAAAAAAATTTTATTAAAAAGCTCTACATTTTTTAAAAAGTTGGTTGATATGGTTTTTTTAAATATTGCACAAAGCTAGAACCTTAGATTTATACGGATTTTGTTAAAGGTTGAACTTATAAAATTCAATTCAAAGCAAAAAAAAACTAAAATAATAGGTGCTTATGTCACAGAGTCTAAAATTCCCCACAAAAAAGGTCAAGTCCCCGATTCTCTACGCAAGCTGAAATTTCCCGCAAATCGGAAATTCCCCAAGAGTTGGCTTCGCTGATGTAGTGTAGAAACTATCAAAACGTAGCAAGTGAGCAAAGCTTCTATAGTATAGAATCTATACAGACGAGCGCAAGAAAAAATAAATTATAGAATATCAGCAAAAGCATTGCACACGGATGTCAATGAATGTATCGCCACGGGTAATTTTTCAGAAGCATTATATCAGAAGCAGTTGCGTTGACAAGTTCAGAGCGACTCATAAGGATAAAAAATATTAATTCAACACAACAAAAGGCATTGCCTTGGCAATATACTTCTGAAGAGGATTTGGATGTATATACAATTTTGTGAGAATTATTAAAACATAATTAAAATTTTTTCCTGGATATACATAAATAAATTAATTAATTTTTTTCTTTTTGGTTTGTGTTGTCTCCGACAGGGTTGGTATAAGATGCGTTTTTTCTAACGATTTTCCGTCATCATCAAGAATATGTTATTTTACGTCTTTTTACGAACGTATGTGCATCATATAAAAAATAAAAAAATTCGGTGATTTCTTTCGAGTTTGAAATTTTTTTAAATATTTGTTGTTACATAAAAACACTGCCTATAATTTTTACTTTAAGTAACCTAATGTGGGGCTGCCATACGTTTCCGTTTCCAGGGACATGTCCTCGTTTCGGACTCTTTGTTCCCGTGTCCCCGTTTACAACCAAAGTGTCCCCGTATAATGCTTGGGACAACAAAATTTGATTTGCTTTTGTAAATTTGAAATGGTTGGGGGAAAATTATTTCGTCTTATCGTGAGTTTCGCCCTAATATTTTTCATCCACCCGTAAATGAATACGCAGATTCGAAAGTGAACAATTTCGGGCGAAATAAAACTCATGATAAGGTTGATTGCCTTTCCTTATTACATATCAGAAACAAGTAGTCCGGATACATCGTTTCAATCGATAGTTGAAAAAGTGCCATCTTTAGTAGTCAGTTGTAATTATCGCAAAATTCGAAAGTGAACAATTTCGGGCGAAATAAAACTCATGATAAGGTTGATTGCCTTTCCTAATTACATATCAGAAACAAGTAGTCCGGATACATCATTTCAATCGATAGTTGAAAAGGTGCCATCTTTAGTAGTCAGTTGTAATTATCGCAAAATTGTGTTATCAAGAAAAAAAAAACAGATTAGGGGTATTCTCGATCCGTTGCATGAGTGCATGCAAGCATAAATAGCATACTTGCAACACCAAAGTATGCACCTAATCGAGAACTCCTTTTCTTCGCTCATAGCATGCATATGTCAAAACGTTCTTATGTCAAATTAAAAAATGCCTCGTGAAAGTGAAAAGCAAAAACTTATACATTTTCTAATTGAAAACGCCAAAATGAATATAATTTTTACAAATGGTGAGTAAATAAGTCTATCAATTAACTATTTCTTACCATTCTCATTTATTTTCAGGTCTCAGAAGTTTTATAAAAGAAATGAAATATTTCGACGAAGATATTTTCATTGTAATGTCGTTTTTAAGCGGCTGTTTTGAGAACGTTCCAAAATCTGTGGAGTGGAGAAGTTCTGTCCTCAACAAGCTGGATGAGAACCGTTTTCGGCAAATGATGCGCGTCAACCACGAGCAATTTAGACAACTTTTATCGCTTATTTGTGATGATCCAGAATTTAATAAGCCTCACGCACAGAAACTATTTTTTTTTGGATATTCAATTAGCTATAGTGCTATACCGTCTCGGCTCAAATGGTGAAAGCGCAGCCATAAAAAAAATCGCGGCAATATTTGGAGTAGGAGACGGCGAAACCGTCTACAAAATAACAAAACGAATCTTTAAAGCATTCAGAAACTTACAGTCAAAGTTTATTTTTTGGCCTGATTCAAATGAGCGAAAAGCAATTTCATGTAGAACTTATCACGAATTGCCGGACTGTATTGGATATATTGATGGAACGGAAGTAAAGCTTGCAGAAGCTCCAGTCACCAACCATCAAGCTTACTTTTCAAAAAATCGTGTGTATTCCATTAAAGCGCAAGTTGTATGTGACGATCAACTTAAGATTCGCCATGTTTCAGTGGGTCATTTTGGCAGCAACCCCGATGCAAGAATGTTTCGCTCCAGTCCCCTATATACAGAAAAAGAAAACTTTTTTTTCTTCTGAGCAATGGATAGCGGGGGATTCTGCGTACCCATTGCAAACTACCCTTATAACACCATACAGATCAAACTCCCAACAATTAAATCGAACTAAGCGCATAGCTTTTAATTTACGCCACAGCGGATACCGAGTCAGAATAGAACACTGTTTTGGTATCCTTAAAGAGCGTTTCGGAAGCTTAAAGGAACTTAGGATACGTGTACGAGATGAAAAAAGTCACAATTTCTGCTCGGAATGGTTTATGACTTGCTGCGTCCTGCACAACGTTCTCATTAAAAGTTCAGAGTTTGAGGATTATGAACTAAATGCTAATACTGATGATGGAGAAGGCGAAGTATTCAGCAATACTTTTTCTGAATTCAATCAAAATAACCCAGAAGCAGAAATTAAAAGACAAAATTTATACTCCTATATGTTTGAATAAAAAATACGTAAACATACATAAGTTATATCGTTAGTTTTATTTCATTTTAATTCATTTCCGCTTTTAAAACATACAAACTTGAACTTGAAGGAGTTAATTAATAAAATGATAAGTACAAAACAGCCAATTTTAATAGCATAACCAAAGCTTAGTCCTAAGTCTTGAACGCATTTCAGAAATGGTACGAAGGAATCGGCACATTTTATACAACTATATATATATGTACATATATATGTATATACACAAATTCACAAGTAAACATCTTGTACATACTTACATTGTACCTACCTACATACGTTTATGCGAAATAAAGAGTGCTATATCCAACAGGAATAAATGCAAAGGAATTCCTATAGCTTTCTTACGTGCGATAATTACAGTATACGCTGTATATGTACAAACATATGAACCGTTCAGTGCACACATCGATTAACTCCAGTTTTTGAAAAATCTTAGATTTAAGTGTTAAAGCACTTGGTATAGTCATAACTTATTACGTTTATAACTCTATATAACATACAATAGTACATAATGTTCATAACATTATTTATTTGATTTCATAATATATGTAAATGGAATTTTAAAAAATAATGTACATTATTTGATCGCATCTCCCAACTTTTCGTTGATGGAGTTAATCGAACTGAACGGCTCATATGTAAAATACTCCCTTGCTTTGTTCGTTTTGGACATTAACTCTATATTAAAAAAAAATGCATGTACATGCATACACACATAGATGTGCACTTGCGCATGTGCGTATGCTTGTATGTAGGTAAATATATACATTTACAAATGTACATATTTGTATATACACTTACATACATACATTCATCTTAAACAAAGAGATAAAAACAAATTTATCCAATACTACATTTAACACTTTTAGGTTCCATATTTTTTATCTATTTCATATTTCGCAATACGTTCCTTCATTTCCAGCTCTTTATATTTGAAATCTAATTCTTTTTCGCGGAAATATTTATCATTTTCTGCTCTCTTTTCATCTATGTCTAATCTTTTCTTTTCTATGTCAACTGCCTCCTTCTTAACTTTTAATTTTTCACTTTCAAACTGCATTCTTTCCTTTTGAATTGTAGCTAATTGTCCCATAGCAGATCTTGGTCGTGCTTTAGTTTTCCCTGATTGCTTTGGTGTGGATGAGCTTGGGATTAGTGCCTCCTCAACTGGCAACGATGGCGAACGTGGTGAAGGAACTTCGCTTTCAACTAACTGTGTAATAGTTGATGACAGTGTTGGTGAAACGGATGCCAATGTCGCTATGGCTGGTGGTGATTCAGTTGATGGTAATTCTATCCATGGTGGTTCTGTTGATAGCCATGGTAGCTCTGTCGATGGTGATTCTGTCACTAGCAGTGGCGCCCGTAGTGCTATGCCTCGTGGCTCAAATATATTTTGGAGACGCCTATATGTGGACATATTTTGAGTATCCTGCCTGCAGATTATTGAAAATGGATTTACCTAATTAACAGCAAATACATATATGAATAGATAAGTACCTATTTTTACCTTCTATGGATTCTTCTCCTTCAAGTACGCCAGCTCCAGTTGAATTCAGCGAATCGTTGGCTTTTACGTAAAGCGATTTGAGGTGGCGCACCTTCCAGCGCACCTGCTCAGGGGTAGCCTCTATGGGGGTCTTTTCAATAAATTTTGTATAAAACATTTGTGCAGTTGGAAACTGAAATGAATATAAGAACATCAATATAAGTTTTAATCGAGGTTCTACGAATCTTCAGATTTAAAACATTGCTTAACTCAAACTTGGGCTCCTCTTCAAGAAAGTCCAGGATGAGCTCCACCTCTCGAGCCTGCCACTTTTTTATTGGCTGTAACCTTGCAACCGATCTTTTTCGCGTAATATCGCTCATTTTCTAAAAATTAAAACGATAAATTGTTGCAAAATAGTAAAATGAATTAAAACTACTTACTCTTTATCCAACTTTATGCTTGTTTACAAATGAGAAGACAGCTGACACAGGGTTGCAAAAAGTATGCTACCATATCATGCAATCAAAATAACACCAGGTTCATAGTAGCATGAGGGTGCAAAGATTTCATAATATTTTAACACATGAAACAACAACAAAAGTATCCAATCATACTATTTATGCTATCTATGCACCATGCTAGACAGTATGCATCGGATCGAGAATACCCCTATTCTATTTAATTGAATGGCTGCGTTGCTGATCAAAATTATAGTTTACGTATACGCGAAAAGAGACCCTGTAACATGTCATATGAGTTAGTTATACCATGTTCTGACTGACAACGAAAACACTTTGAAAACGAGTTTTGGGATTGTGCGCTGAAGGCTGTTAACACCTGTTTTTAGTTTTTTCGTTGACATTTCCTACATCCTTTGTTTACAGTTTTGCTACAACAAAACAAAACCAACATTTTTATAAGCTTTTATTTAACTTGGTCATCCAGCGGAAATCGCGGAAATTTCCAATCGGTTTTAAACTAACTTCACGACAAGTTAGAGACTTGAAATTTTCAGCATAGTTCCAACCACGATGACAATGCAATTTAAAATGTAAATGAATTCCCTATATGGTCCAGAGATCTTGATTCAAAGGCGGTCAAAAAGTAGTAAGATTTATGGCTAACAGAGCGTAATTTGCCAAAGAACGTAAAACCACTAAAAAAGTGTTAAAGCTGCCGGCGGTAGTGTAGCAAAGCTATTTGTGGCAAATTCTAGATATCAACCTAGTCTAGATATGAACCTCGTTGTAGGCATCATATCAAGGAGACACAATTAGAAGACTCCAGATGTCGCCCCGCCAGAAGAAGTTAAATATTGCGCCTAAATATATGCACTATTTAAATACGCTACAGCCGAAATGGACGTCACGCCATTTCTTTAAATGAAATCAACTGCTGCTATATGTACATATGTATGTTTATACAAAACGTAAGCAAACAACATTTTGCTTGCATAGTCTTCTGTTCTCTTTCATTGCAAGTTGAATTATTTTAATATCTATTGCAAAATTTTGTACATAAAATAAAATAACACTTTTTAATATACAACGCTTTTATAAATGGACTAAAAACTAGAAAATAAGATAATGTAAAAAAAATATTTTTTAAAAACAAGCTTTTATTTAACATGTACAATCAAAGGAATAAAATAAAGTAGTGAAACAAAAGATTTTTTAGCAAGATAATTTTGTCAAAACTGCACTAAAATTTATAAAATAAAATAAGTTAAGGTCTCGTTAAAGTTACTAAAAGCCATTTAGTGAAAGGAGTTATTCAAACTCTAATGAAAATTACTAACAATTTGTACTAATTTACTTCGTTTTTAAAAAAGCTTGTCGGCGAATTCAGCGTACATGCATAATTGGTTAGGTATGTATATGTATGTATGCAGATATTTAAATGCCGGTTTGCTATTCGCGCGACAAACTTTTTTAGAAACGACGTAAATTAATACAAATTGTTAGTAATTTTCATTACGGTTTGAATAATTCCTTTCACTAAATGTCTTTTAGTAACTTTAACGAGACCTTAACTTATTTTATTTTATTCATTTTAGTGCAGTTTTGACAAAATTTTCTTGCTAAAAAATCTTTTGTTATATTACTTTATTTTATTCCTTTGATTGTACATGTTAAATAAAAGCTTGTTTTTAATTTTTTTTTTTACATTATTTATTTCTTTCATTTTTTTTTCATTAATAACGTTTTAATTTTAGTCTTATTATAGTTTGGCCAGCCAATTAACAATAAATCCGAACTGGCGCATTAAAGATGAAAAAATATAACTTCCACTTCGATAATTATATCTAAAAAACTAGTGCAGACACCGACTGGAATAAGTGGAACGTAAGTTTTCAGCAAAAACCATGATAAAAATATAGTGAGGTGGAACCGCTGAGAAATACTTTTAGCATTTCTGACGTTTTCAAGCATTTTTATTTTAAAATTTACGCACAAACTCACATACACATTCTCATTTCCAATCTCAAACAACAAAAATGTTGAACAATTTAATTTTTTAATTTTCAGTTTTATATGATTTTAAAATGCTGGCAAAGTTGAAAAGACTTGAGAACGGTTTTAGCTCACCATGTTTTTATTATGGCGAAAACTGGTTTTCGGTTGATAGATTTTACATGGACGAAAACACAAGTTTTAGGTCGAAACCCAGTTTTAGCAACGAAAACATGTTTTTGATGTCGGTCACAACATGGTATTACGTAAAAATGTGTTAAAATAGTTCTTGTTTTGTTTGCTTCCAGTTACGTTAAGAAGTACAAATACGTTCCAGAACTGAACAAAAATTTTTTTTGATCTCTAATGGTTATTGTTTTGTTTGTTTGTATATACATACTTTAAAAGGCAGAAGTGCACTCATGACATACTTATGTATATAATAAAATACGTTGTCCATAAATACGTTCAGTGAAAATGTGGTTTTGATCTGAATTTATTATGACTTATGCAATTTCGACAGGGTGGTATGTAACGAATTTCCGTCATCCCTTGTCAAATTTGGTTTGGAGACAAACCGGTTTCGGCGTTGTGCCATCTTCAGTGTCATTTTTTGTTTTTTCGTCTTTTTACGAACGTAAAGGTGAACACACCAAAACTGCGACACTTAGAAATTACTACCAGAAACAAACTAGAAGGCTTTGAAATTATTATTTTTTGTATTATATAACTTGGAAGTTCAGATGTTATTAAAATGTTAAAATATTAGTTATTATTTGCTCCATATGCAAGTGATCGGTATTTTCATCGCACACGCGCCATCATGTTCTGCACGACTGCATCATCGACTTTACGCGATGCGCACAACTACTTTGTTTTGCACTCTTCAATATTTTTCACTGTTTCACCTGTTTTCTGCAAGATTTCTTTGACAATTGACCAATATTCCCCAATAGGACGTGGCTCTGGGCTATTGGGTGGATTGCAGTCGTGAGGTACAAAATTGATGTTATTTGCATTATACCATGGCAATTTGTCCTTGGCATAGTGGCAGGTTCCCACGTCCGCCTAGAACAGTGGCCTACTCCTTATCTGTTGATTAATGACAGAAGACGCCTTTTGAGGCACTCATCCCGATAAACTTGATCATTCATTGTCCCGGATGGGAAAAAAGGGCTGCTCAGCCTCAGGATCAAATAGCTTGCCAAACCATGTGGTTTTTTGGAAATTTGGACTTCATTTTCAGCTTACAACTTTCAGGGGCATCTTGACGACTTGCACCAGTATAAAAATCTTGACCTGCAATATATTTTGAATTTTTATAGCAGTAGGTTTCGCAGTCCATAACAATGCAGTTGTATTTTTTAACTTAGAATTCATACAACTTCCGAATGCGGGATTTCGCTGTAACATTCTACTTTGCGCCTCGGTCTGGCGCTGTTTGAGCTGTAGAACATCTCAATGAAGCTTTCCGCTTTACCTTTTGTACGAAAAACTGCGATCTGCGTACGGATTTTGCAACATAACGCGACAAAATCTTCGGATTTCGCGAAAACGCACTGAGGACCTTCCGAGCACTGTTTTTATCACTTTGACCATGCTAACCCTCGCTCCCTGGTTTTCTCGTAACTGCCAGGCTTTATTTGTACCGATTAAAACCCTGCAAACTGTCGAATAGTGCAATCTTTAATTTTTTAGCAATTTTACGTGTACTCAAGGCCGGATCATTTATAAACTCGTGCAAAATGGTTTACCTCGTTTCTAACTCGGTTGCCATTTTTAACTCAACTAGGAATCAAATTCAAATGAAATTTCTTCTACGTCCAACTAAGGTCATGTGGTCAGCTTATGGTATTTGAATTTCAAAATATTGAATTCGTTTTGGGTAAGTTATAAGCTTCCCAAAGTGACGCAGTTTTGGTGTGTTCACCCTTTATGTGCATCATATAAAAAAAATAAAAAATTAGGTGATTTTTTCGATTTTGAAATTTTTTCAAATGTTGTTGTTACATAAAACATTGCCTATAATGTTTTCTTTAAGTACCCTACTGGGAAATATAGGCTCTGAGGGCGTATACACTCTAGATCGTCTAACGCCCGAGGGAAATTATCAAAGTGGTTATACTTCTTTGCACATCTTTCCTTTTTGTTGTTTTAATTAAAGGATTTTTGCATGAAATTCGTATGCTTCTGGAAGACATTGTGCCATTGTGAATTTATCTTGAAGTTTTCCCTTGATTTCACTGTAGTCGCTGTCGGAAGCATCTCAAAAGATTTCCCCATATATGTATACTTATTACAGATAGCAAATTAATTGTGCTCTTTTTAAATTTACTGTTGTGTATCCAGAGCTGGTAAATGCAATTACATTACAATTACAATTACATTCCTCAGTAATTGTAATTAGGATTCAATCCCTTTAGTTCACAGCAAAGGAATCGATTACTTTTTCAATTCCTTGAAGTAATTTCAAATGGAATTGTTTTTTTTCTTTAATTCCATTACAAAGAATTTCATATTGTAATTGGAATAAATTACGTGCTAGTAATGTAATTTCTTTTATTTCAATTCCTTTGAAAGGAATTGAAAATGTAATTTTTTTCCCCAATTCCTTTGAAAGGAATTGAAAATGTAATTGATTTTTTCCAATACCATTCCTCAAAGTAATTTAAAAAGTAATCGAAAAATTTATAAAAAAAATTTTATTTACTGTTGAATTACAATAGCTTTGTTAAATTTCTTGGTTGCTAACTGCCTTGAATAAACAACTTATACCTAAGTAGTATTACTAATTGGACTTTAAGAAAACTGAATAGCTTAAACTGTAGCTGTTCAGTTTATAGGGTAACGGTTAAATTTTCCAGATCCTACCGCGTACGCGCTTCGTGTGGGACTGGAGATCCTATCTCCTAAGAGCTTTATAAACAAATTTCATTGCTATGGCTAAATTTTGATGATAACACTGTAACGACGCTAAAATTACACAAAAAACGCCGAGAGACGTAAAATTAATTTTAAGTAGTATGTTATGGATCTGTATACCTTTTTTTTTATAAGGTCATTTAGTCAAGTTATTTGCATTTTAAGTTTTCATTGCGAATGAAAAAAATTCAAACTTTAACATGATCATACGGTCATGTACGATATGGCGTATGGGTAACATTATTTCCTGCTAGTATTTTATACAAAAAATTATTGCACTTTCACCTAACCGTTGCAAACTTGTTCATTTATCCATCGATTTTCATCGGTAGTAGTGTTTTAAGCCACAAAACAAGCAGATATTGGCTAGTCTATACTAATACATATTTTGAAAGGCGTTTTTTTCTGTTCGCAAAGCTCGAGAAAGGCCGTACCGATTTTTTTTTAAATTTCGGAATCTACTGCAGACTTTCCAAGGATGGTTATAGGCTAAAAAAAAGTTTCGATATAGAAATGGGGCGT